TATAATAATAACCACTGCAGCCAAAAAGAGTGCCTGATGAGCCCAGTTGTAAGTAAGTTATTAAGACTCGACTGTACACTGTGTTCGTGTTTTCTTCTGAAACAATAAGTTCCGTTGGAGCAGCCTTTCAACGCCTCTCTCTGTCTCTCGCTAGCAGTCGACCCAGACAACAAAGTAAAGCTAGTTTTCAGCTACGAGCCCGACACGGAGCCCGACACGGAGCCCGACACGGAGCCCGACACGGAGCATGACGTATTAGCCAGAGGCCCCTTTACTACGGTTCGGAGCCGCGGACCTGTTTTAAATACGTACGGAATAGTTTTCTATACGAGATCACTGCAAAAAGTGCAGCCTCACCTAATGTCCACCCTACTACTACTCATTTTATATTAAGACTTAAAAATCTAGTTGGTATTGGTATGGGGAGTAACCTTCAGTAATAGTAATAAATCACACAGCAATAGTACGTTCATGTAGTTGTAAACAGCATGATAATATATGAAGTAATCCAAAGTATTCAGAATACGTTACTCTCATTGAGTAACGTAACGGAATACATTACAAAATACATTTTGGGGCATGTATTCTGTAATCTGTAGTGGAATACATTTTAAAAGTAACCTTCACAACAAGCCTTTCGTCCTCATTTCTTATGCATTATGAAACTTTATTATACATGACCAACTACACTCTCTCTTATACACACAAATATACACACACAGATCAGATTAGCGCTCATCTCCAGCTGAGTCCTGCTGTTATATCCTGTGGTGGACATTCGTTTTCTACACCTGGACACCCCCCAATCATGTTTGTAATCTTCTCCTCTCCTTCCTGTCTGCCCTGCTATCTTTTGCCCAGTCTGTTCTTTTGTTTGAATAGAATAGAATAGAATAGAATAGAATAGAATAGAATAGAATAGCCCTTTATTGTCACTGTACATGGTACAATGAAATTGTAAGTGCTTCAAATCAACTATGCCGGAATAAAATATAAATCGAAGACAGCAGGAATAAACAGCAAATAGGAGAAATATATACAATCAAGAGCAAAATATACAAAATAAGAAAGACACATTGCAGACTGTTAAAAACACTGGTGGCTTCCTCCCAGTAGGTGCATCTGTGGTATCAGTTTAAAAATCCTAAAATCTTCAGGAAAGTTGATCTTTGGCCTTCAGGTGACCAGAATTTGACCTCCTCTGAGATTTTTAATAGATGCACCTATGGTACCAATTTCAAAATTATTTTGTCACCTTGTTGTCGAGTCATTACATTCACAAAATCTTTGGTGTCCACGCCGCCTGTCCTGCATGATGTCAATAATACCCCCATCAAAATGCTGCATTTCTTAAAATGAGCTCTCAACTAAGATCTTTCAGATGTTAGAGAATAATATGAAAAAAATTGTTTCATTGTTTTTGTTTACAAGCTTAGAAGAAGAAGCTCACAAAAGAACAGCAGGACATTAACGTGCTTTACCCCCTGCAAATTCTTAGATAAGTGTTCTGTGCACTCAAAGGCCCCGCTTTCTCTATACCTAAATCTGCGAGCACCAAGTTTAACTAAAAACTTTTACAAACTTTAGATCAATGTATACAGCTTGCCCCCCCCAATAAGTCTGAAGCTTCTGCCATGCAGCACATTCACGGCATTTTTACCATGGGTTCCACACTCAGCATCATGCCGTGTAATTAGTGGGCGTTCTCTAACATCATTTATACACAAGCAAATAACAGTGCTGTGCAGGGTGGGACAGTGGTGCAGCTTCACAGCACTGCAGACTATGTTCAAACCCAGCTGACCACCGTGTTCCTCTGCATGGAGTTTGTCTCCTGTGTGCGGGATCTCTCTGGGTGTTGCCCCCACGGTCCAATTGCATGCATGTTAGAAGAAGAGGTGATTCTAGATCAACTGCAGGTGTGAATGTCTCTGTGTGTCAGCCCAGTGACGGACCGGTTATCTGTCCAGGTGCAACCTGTCTCTCGCATTGTGACAGCAGTGTTTTAACTTGAACTACCACTGGAGCCTCAGGCTGGACTTCAGTGACCTGAATCAACTTCTGTTGTCATTGTCGACATTAGCAACATGCATCCACCAACCACAGCTCATAAGGGTGATAAGGTGTGTGAAAGTTGTGCAGTTGTGTTTAG